CAACACCTTCAACAGCATGGCGCACCACAAAGTATTCGCCAGAGGCCACCCTAAAGCGCACATGAGGATAGAGGTCTGTGGCAGCCATTCCGAGCTCGGCAACCAAGCTGGGCACTAGAAATGACCTACTGGCACATGCGTCCACAAGGGCTTCGACTTCTCTACCATGTACATGCACAGGCAACACCAACACACGCCCTGCTCCCCCATTGCTGCAGCTATCCAATCAGGAATCTGGCTGTCTTTATATGGCGTTCCAGACCTCCACCATAGTTGATAAGAGCTCTCTGCTCCCCTATTTCCTTCGGCATGATCTGGAGGCCACTGCCCTAATGCGTGTAACCCCACTTCACCTTCTATATCAGGGCCTTTCAGCTGTCTGCAGTTGATAAATCGTACAACTTGCGTGTCTGCCTCCCTTGCAGATTGTGTGTGTTCTGTCTCTGCTTCTACCTGTTGCTGCCTAGGCCCCAGCTGAGTCATATTGAATTCATCACCAAGTCTTTGCGTGTCTGGGTCAACTTCAGCACCCAGCCAATGGCGTCTATCCTGGCCGCGATTGCTATACTCTGAACACATTATTTGTGTACCTTCCAAGTAGCTAACACGCAGCGCCTCACCGGTGGGCGCTTTTTGCTGTTCCACGTCGCAACTTCTCGCCTGTACGGGCAACCCCTTTAGTTCCGCACTATGCCATCCCTAAAATGCCTGCACTTTCTCATCCTCAGCGCTCTCCTGAGGGTCGGCCAACCCGTTTTGCGTGTGCAGTGCCCCGTGTTGAACCAGACGCTGTCTCTGCCGTCCCTCCTGCTGGGACGTCCGACCTCGTTTAGTACGCATGCTATCTGTAGACTCAGCATTGTGTGGGGTATTTTCCTCAGTGCAGCAAAGGCTTCCATGAGCCACAAGCCTCTCAGCCCTCTGCTGCTCGCTTCTCCTTGGCCTAGGTCGGTTAACCCCTAGACCGCCTAGGCCCTGTCGTTTCTCTAGTGTGTGTCCGTTTGCTCTCGCTTCACTTGTACAGATGTTTCTTTCTTAGTCTGAACGCCTGATGGGCACGACCTGGCCCAATTGCCAAGTCCCCCACACTTGTTACATCGACTTCCGTCTCTCCTACACTCTAGCTTCTCATTTGGGCAGTCCCTTGCCCGATGCCCATACCCATTGCACGAGTAGCATTGCACCTGCGCCCCCTTTTCTCTTTCCTTGGCCTGTTTAGTGTCCCCTTGGTAATGCGTATCCCTTTGCTTTTATGTGCCCCTTTCGTTGGTTTGCTGCATCGTTCGATCTGAATTCCATCCCTTGACGTGTGTTTGCCTCTTGCCCTGTTTGCTATTCAGTAACCAGCCTTGTCTGATCAGCTCGTCACGTCCCTCCACTTCTCGTCTGAACTTTTCTGTCGTATACTCGTACCAAGTCGCTGCTCGGTTTGCGACAAGGGCCCTCTCGGCTAGCATCTGCTCCCAGATCTCTACCCAAGAAGCAAACTCATGTTTCAACACCCTCTTTACCATGTCGTAGGGGAATCTTGACAAGAACAACTCTTTAGGAGTCTCTTCTGGCGGTTCTTCCCCTTCCGCCAGCACACTGGAAAACCGTTCAACTACCTCTTCGAAGTTGCCGCTGTATTGGATCTCTTTGAGTTTGCGAATAGTCGTCACCACAGGCGTCGTACCAAACCTTTGCATAATGGAATCTTCAAATGATTTCCAGGATGTCGGCATCAGCTCTGGTGCCCTTCTCTTGGTTGTACAATAGTGTGCCAGCGCTTTTCCTGTTAGAAATGAGACCGCATCAGCGAATCTCGCCTCTTCGCCCATTTCTAGGGCATTGTAGTATTTATTGATTTGCATTAACCTAGGGCGCTCTCTGTTGAAGTCCGGTGGAGAACAAAACAAA